CTGAAACCTGTTGTTTATTTCTTGTGATCCGTTATTGTCTTCAGTTATTGTTGTTCCAAGATACTTGAATTCTCTAACGCGCTCAAAGTTAAAGTCATCGATGGTAATGTTCTGACCGATTCTGTCTCTGCTTTGGTTATTGCGGCTCATATACATATACTTCGTCTTGTTTTCGTTGATTTGGAGCCCCATCTTCTCTGCTTCCTTCTCAAACCTTACGAAAGTCTCCTTCATCCTTAATCGCGTGTTTTATATTAGATCTATATCGTCTGCAAATGCCAGTAGTAAGTTTGGTCCTTCTCGATGAAATACTGTATTCGGTTTTTCGATTCTTGCACTTCTGATTATGTGCTCCAGAGCTAAGTTGAAGAGTTGTGGTGAAAGTGCATCTCCCTGTTTTAGTCCATTGTTTATTTCAAATGTCTCCGAGTATTGTTGTCCAACTCTCACCTTACATCGTAACCGTTCCATACACATCCGTATCAACCGGACTAGTTTTTTTGGAAAGCCAAGTTCCTGCATCGCTGACCACAGTCTGTCCCTACATACTCTATCAAATGCTTGTTTAAAATCTATGAACATCTGATGAAGCTACGATTAAACTCCCAGCATTTTTCCATTATCTGTTTTATTGTGAATATCTGGTCAATTGTAGAGCGGCCCGGTCTAAATCCGCATTGATAATCTCCAACGATTTCTTCTGTGTATGTTTTGGTTCTTTCTAGCAGGATGTTTGCAAGGATTTTGTAGGTGGTGTTTAGAAGTGTTATTCCCCTGTAGTTAATACATTGCTTTTTGTTTCCTTTTTTGTGTATTGGTACAATAACCCCTTCTTTCCATTCATCTGGCATTGTTTCTTCTTGCCAAATGTCTTGAATTAGCTTGTATATCGAACTATTCAAATATGATTATGCCTATTAAAAATGTACATACACAGAAAGAACCTGATATCCACCAGCCGTCCAGCGAAATTACTTGAATTTTTATAGAAAGGCAAACGTATTTTATACAAGAAAAACTTCTGCAAAGAAAAGTAGAAAAAATATGCAAAAAGAGGTGGTTTGTATAGATTTTTCTAAAAACTTTCGTTGTTCAAACATTACGACAAATAACGTTTATTATAAAAGGCAACTGCCTCTTTGTGCTTTTAACATATATGTTTTATCCAATGGAAATAGGGTATTTTACATGTATCCAGAAAATATTGCGAAGAAGGGTAGCAATGAAACGACTTCATTTTTCCACAATTTTGTGTACAATTATCTCGACAGGAATATTACTGAACTAGAAATTTTTTATGATTTTTGTGGAGCCCAAGCTAAGAACGTAACTATGTTTCGGTTTCTCCATCATTTGGTACACATTGAAAAGCGATTCACGTCCATTAAGATTACTTTTTCAGTAAAAGGCCACTCTTATCTGGAGTCCTCTTCCTCTTCTTCATGCGATTAGAATTACTCCTGTTTGTCTGCCTCTTATTCTGTTTCAGTCGTTGTTGACTGTACATTATCTTTCCACCTTTTTGGCGACCTTCCAACGGGTCTTCTGCTATACGGTTTGTTGTTTTTACAGATGTTCGCTAATATATCTGGTCCCATTCGGTTTACATGTTCGTTCCAGCTTTTTTTCTTGTTTTTATCCACCTGTTAATAATATTTTGAATTTTGCATTGTTCATGTGTACTTCTGTTGGTTTGTCTGTCTCTTAATGATATTCCCGCTATTGATTTTAATACTTACATTTCCATATTGTTGATTTGTTGTTTCGTCTTTCTTGTATCGGTCATTGTCTTCGCTGCATATGTTAGAATTGATCTTACTGTTGTCTTGTATACTTTTATTTTGCTTTCCATGGTCAGATATTTGTTTCTCCATATGGTTTCTCGGGGACAACCACTTACTCTTGCCGCTTTTGATGCTTTCCTTGTGGTCTCTGTTCTTATATCCCTGTCACTATTGATCTCTGCTCCTAGGTAATTGAATTTTATTACTTGTTCTACAATTTTGCCGTCTATTTCTAGATTGCATCTACGCGGCTCTTTACTGATCACCATACATTTAGTTTTTTTCTACTGATATTCTCATATTAAGTTTGTTTGCTGTGATGTTGAAGGTGTGGAGCTGCCTTTGTAGATCATCTTCGTTATCAGCAATTAGTAGTGCATCATCGGCATAGCGTATTGTGATTTTATGCGCTCCCATGTGGTATCTGTGTCGTTTTCTTACTTCGTCAATTGTTTGATTCATCACCATATTAAATAACAACGGGCTAAGCGAGTCTCCTTGGCGGATTCCTCCTTTTAGTGAGTTCTGGAGTGTGATAAGAATAGAAGATTAATAAACAACAAAGCAGTAGCTAAGGTCCCAGATAACTGGATGGCTATTTTTAAATATTCGCGAAATAAACCAGCCTCTTTTCACGTTAAAAAGGTGAACCAATATATGGTTAAGAACTGTACCAATCATTTGGATAAGCTTTATAATAAAAAATTAACGTTCACCTCTTCTTCTAAAAACAACAAACGAAAATTATTTCATAAGTAGGTATGTCTAAACGTACAAAATAAAAAATCTATACGTGTAAAAGACCGTCATAAAATAAATGTCTATCTTTTGGTAATGTCGATTTTAGATCTTGAAAATGTTGCCATTTTTTCGTTTTTAATTTAGGAGGCGATAGAAATAGAGGTTGATAGTCCACAATTGTTGGCATAGTCTTTGGTGTAATAAGGATTTGTAAGTATTCTCCTTTATTGTCAGTTTTTATTTCTATAGTCCCAGCTAGATCGTATTTGATACATTTTATATCAGTAATGGTTGGGTCATACGCTTTTCTTCCTGGTCGGATTGAGGAATATCGCATGTTGTCGAGGATAAATAGTCTTTAAAAACGTATGGTCAATATTTTTACTGTATATGGCTTAGTTCCTTTTCTTACTTGAACTGTAATGGTAGCATAGTCACTGGATAGATGGATTTCCTTATTTTTAAGACTTCTTTGTATCACACTATGTACCGATTCACATGCCATTTGAGAGTGACCCGGTTCAAGGTATTTTTGGAACACTAACACATTATACTTGGTAGTAATGTTTAGTAAAGCGTTGGCCAGGACAAAAATACAATTTTGATAACCTCATCCATCAGAATAAATACCGACTAGCGTTTTGGAATCGGTAACACAGTTTTCCTCTAAATAATGTATGATACAGGAAACAAACATGGATGCTTTGAACTGATTATGCTCGTTTTCTGAAAACCAATAGCACATAACACTGCGAGTTTTTAGGTTGTAAACTGTAAAGTTATGGTAGGACAATTTGGTTTTGAAATATATTTTGTTCGCTGGTACATATGGGCACAACTTTACGACTTGTAGGTCCATTGTTAGTGCTATTATTTCATCTCTTTCAGTTATGGCTTTATCCAAAATTTTAGCTTCTGGCGTCTTCTTCTCTTTGTATATGAGCTCTATATTCTTCTTAAGTTGAATACTTATATTTAAATGAAGAACAAATATTGCATTGGTCTTTTTTCGGTGTATATAAAGCGAAATTATTATCCTTAAATCGTTTTGAGAATACGTTGCGACCTAATTCGTTAAAGTTTTTTAAGAAATTTGTTTAGTCAAAGTCTTTTATCTCTATCTTTTATCTTTAATATTAGGTGACTTAAGTCAAGCAGTGGAAAAAATGGAGAACAAACCCCTCGCTATCAAGTCCCCAGTCACCAGAACTGAGCATTAATAAAAACTTTTGAATTTTTTTGGTTCATCCATTGTACTACCCTATATATAAAAATTCAATATTCCTTTTAATTGCTTACTAATAGTCTTTTAGAAGCAGTTTCCGCCTATTATATCATGGCGCTGCAACGTGTCGCAAACGAGACTTAATGTTGCTAGGTTCTAATTAGACAACAGTTCTAGTTAATTGGTTCTGAGTGTCTTTGGTTTACTGTAGCAATTAGTTAGACTTATTAAATGTGTATAGATACTTTCCAATATTTGCGTAAAATATTCGGTAACCCTTTGAACACTCTTGTGGTCCAAAATAGTTCTAAGCGCAGAAAAATATTGAAAATATTTGTGTGTGTACAGTTAAAGTAAATAATAGTGAGTCAGTGGTAAAGCTATTATCGTGTTAGTATATTTATAGATTTTTTATTTATTTTAAAATACTTTTAATATTTTATTAATTATTTTAAAGAATGTTAATGGTTAGTATAATTGGCAAGAGTTCGCAAGCGACATCTGCTGAGCATAACAGCTACAAGCAAAAAATATTGACAAACCTACGCAATATTTCGATATAATGAGCTTTAGAGAAATACAAAGAAAACTCAACTTTAAAAACAACATCCAGGAAACTAAAATAAAAAGAAATGGAAGATGTAAACTGATTCAAATATCTGCGTTCAAACAAAGAAAAAAATCGAATGCAGATCAGATATACAAAATCACAACATCCTTATAACTTCTTAAAGAAAATATTTAGCACCTGCACCATATCCGACTCTACAACAAAACAAGGAATCTTAAATCTTTATCATACCAGTCCGTATTCCTAGTAATATTACGTCGGTTGCATTTTGTATGTTCTCTTTTAGGTGTTATCATCTGCTTTATATAGCCAATAATTTTGGGTTTCTTTGGTCCCATTTTATATAACTTTTTGATTGTACTTATATTTATAATTACATCTATAATCAAATTAAATGGAGAGGAACCAGTGAGTCCATTTGACTAGCAAGCCCCGATTTGGTACCAAGTGACTTCTTAGATTTTCTACAAATTCATAAATAATAAACTCGGCGTTGAAAACTGGCAATGAATGTGGAAAAAGTATTTTAAAAATTGTAATAACTGCATATAAAACCGTGTTGATCATCAGGGAGGGTATTTTCAAAAACAATAAATCTATTTTAGATACTGATACCACTAATTTAACTGCATAGTTATTTCAAATAATTTTTAACACGTATTTTTTCCATGTTTTCTAGAGCCGCTTCTGATAAAAGAAAACTCCACGTCAAGAGACCCATGAATGCTTTTATGGTATGGGCTCAAGCGGCTAGGCGAAAACTTGCAGACCAATATCCACAACTTCACAACGCTGAATTATCGAAAACTTTGGGCAAACTTTGGAGGTAAGAAACATTTTTATAAAATAAACATCTGATTTACACAAAAATATTTTGACTGTTAAGATTTATTTCTTTGTTTTCACATTTCTTTGTGTTTTATATGTGAATGCAAGGACTGCAAGGTAAGAGTTACTAAGACTATGAGTCAAAACCATGTTGTTTGTGCTAGATAAACAAGACCTGGGGCCAGAGGAGACGCTTAAGAAGGGCTTGTCGGTAAAGAGGATTATTATTGGTATGACCCAAGATAGCAGCTTATTGAGAAATGTAATTAGTAAAGTACCCCACATAGGGATAGTGACAAAGAGAATGATGATGATGAGGTTTATTTATGTTTATTGCATAAAAACCTTGAAACCAGAAAAACTATACCATTTTTTTAGATATCGATACCTTTCGAAGCTGAAAAGTATCGATAGTATACCAGTATGTATATAAATCAGCTCAAACAGGCTCTACAGGCTTAAATAATTTTCTTCCAATTTATTCTATCTTGTGCTAGATTTCTCCAGTTTTGTACCATTAACAATCCCAAGTCTTCTTTTACCCATTCAATCGATTTTCCTCGTGGTCGTCCTATTTTCCTTTTTGTGCCAGCTTTAATATTTATTAATGCTTTGGTGACTCTTCTTCCTGCATTCTAACTACGAATCCATGCCATCTTAGTCTTGGAACTTTCGCAATGTTTGAAATCTTTTGTTGTCCATCTATTTGCATTATTTCAAAATTTGTTCTTCTTCTCCAGATATGCCCATCTTTTATACCTTCACATATTCTTCTGAGTATCTTTCGCTCCCGTCTTTCTAGCTTCAGTTCTATGATTTTGCTTAATATTAAGGTCTCGCTAGCCTAGAGCACCGTTGTTCGAATAAACGTTGTATATATTCTTATTGTTGCTCCTCTGGATATTTTCTTTAAACTCAGCATCTTATTTAGAGTTACAGCACTTTTACTACGTCTAGCCTTTTTTTCGATTTCTCAAGTCTCATCTATTTCTTAACGTTACTCCCAAGCAGATAGCGTCGGTCAGATAGCCAAGCAGGCTGGACGGCTGGTTTCTTACTCGCTTCACTGCGAGTGGTTCAGAGGAAGTGAGTTCGATCCCCAGCTCGGTGTACAGAAATCAAAAAGGCTAACGCAGCAGTTTAAAATTCTAAAATGAATCTGCGAATGTGTCTGATCGGCCTATGGTGGAGCAATATGGCATGAGATAAGGGCTTGCGGCTCGGTGTTACTCCTCCATAGATCCCTACCGGAAGGGTGTGTGCCGCCTTAAGTTGTACCAATTCCAACGGTAACTTAAACATCATAATATGTAACCATATATAATGTAAAACAACTGTAAATTTATAACATTTAAAGGGTTTTGACCCATATATTTTGGTGGCTCATAGCATATATACCTCATTTACACTGATGATGGATTTAACAATCCGAAAACGTTTTGTAATTTCATTGTGATAGCCCGTTTGGGCATTTTATTATATACCTTTTATAAAGGATTTGAAACAAAGTCAATGACATGATAGTGTGTGGCTATATTAAATTCACTAGTATTTTCCAAGAATTGCCACAAGACGAAGATCTGATCTATTGTGGACTTTTGCCTGCGGAAACCACATTGATATCCCCCAACTATTTGTTCCGCATATGGTCTCAATCGGTCATACACAATATTTGACAGTATTTTATATGCCACAGTCAGTAGCGTTATTGCCCGGTAGTTTTTGCATTGAAGCTGATCTCCCTTTTTATGTAGTGGGATCATTACTCCGGTATTCCAGTCTTGTGGCAGTTTTTTATTATTCCATATGTTCACTATTAGTTCGTGTATCGCATTCAATAAGGAGTCTCCACCTTCCTTTATTAATTCTGCGCTAATGTTGTCTAATCCAGGTGACTTGTTGTTTTTCAGTCTGGTAACTGCTTCTTGCATTTCAACTACTGAAGGGGGGTTGTTTCTCTGGTTTCTGTTTGATCCAGTATAATTCCATCATATAGTGGATCTTCGTTTTTTTTAAACTTTTGCAAGATGCCATACCTCTTGTAAAAAATGCCGAACGTAAATTGACAATAACAGATATAGAGAAAGCCGAGACATTTGCAAAACATCTTTCCACAGTATTTAGACCATTCACCAGATTAGTGCCTCAAGAAGAAGTAGAACCAATTCACTGTTTGAGGTAAATAAGAAGGGAAGGAACAATGTTCGCCAATGGTATAGATCTGTAGCAAAAACATCTTCAGTATTATAAACTTTGTGCGCCATTTTTCTGTTCCAAATTCCAAATATAAGTACGTAATTTAAAAATATGTTTTCATTTACATACGAATTCAAATACAAACTAACTAATAGCACTAAGTTGCATAAATATAATTTTATCTCGTTTTGATCGAAAGATTACATAGATTTCCTACGCCAACGTTATTAATATACGTTGCTGACACGTTAAAGTTTTGAAAATAAATGGACAGCTTCCCAGAAAGAGACCTTGTGTCAACGAGATTTGTGCCAAAATTTATTATAAATATTAGTAAATACTTCTGCTAGACATTGTATACTACAGTAAGTGAGCAAATTGTTAGAGCCATTTAGTCTATATGCATTTTTTGTTTAAAAAAGCGTTCAAATATCTTATTTTACAATATTCTTTATTTTTCATCTTTCACAATAACAAATAAATTTGTTAGTTAATATAAACCTTTATATAATAATACATAAAAAGTACAAATCGATTTTTCTCGAAAATGACACGAAATAGGATTTTGATTTGACAATGGAATGTTAGAGGAACATTTGAAACAGGCGCATTGAAAAACTTAGCGGATACCCTAGGAAAGTACGATATAGATATTGCAGCTATCCAAGAAACCAAACAAAAGAGAATTTTCGGCATAGATATTAAAAACAACATATTCTTCAATAGTGGAGACAATGAAACACTATTTGTGGCAGGGTTTTTTATTAACAGAAAATTGTAAAACTAGTGGTGAACTTTGAGCAAATAACAAGCAGATTATATCAGTTATTATACCCCAATAGAATATAAGGATGAGGATATAAAGACTACTTTTATGAGCAACTCGAAAAACTGTTGCACGAAATACCATCGTATGATATAAACATAATTGTAGGAGATTTTAAAATGAAATCTGATAGGGAGGATGCTTACAGACAAATAACTGACGGAAAGAGCAAATACAGAGCAATCTAAATGGCAGAAGATTGATTGAATTTGTGTTTAAACATAATATACGTACTGTGAGCACATATATTGACATAAGAAGTTGTTTATATATTATTTATAAGTAAAAACGTAAGTTTAATCTTTTGCCTCTTTTGTTTATTGCATATTATTATCACCAAATTTATCAAAAGCAATTGTTAGACATCTGTATCAAAGAGTGTCACGGAGAAGGCTTTTTATTTGCTAATTTCTTTGGTCTATACTAGCTTCTCATTCTTCAAACGGTTGTTATATGCGACCTTAAGTATTGGCTTTTTATTTGCAAACCAATGTTTCTCCAAAGGACTTTCCCGAATTTCTGTTTATTTTTTCCATTCTTTTGTCCTTCTTCCTTGTCCTGATGTTCCCAACGCCTCCATAGGATCTCTTTAACTTTGTTATTTGGGTTGCATTTTGTTGTTTAAATAAATCTGTTTGTGTGGTTTTTCTTTCTTTATTGGGAAAGTAGTCTGCCATTTCATTGCCTTTGATGTGAGGCTGACTACAAATCTTTGATTGCTAACTTGTGTGGCTTGGTATCCACATAAAACTTTTATTTTTCTATCTGCCATTCATGTCTGCTATCTTTTTTCTAGTACTCACCATAATGCTACAAGCTTTAATATTTATTCCTGCCTTTGTAATCTTCTATAGAACACTTCTATGACACGTACATTAAACTTCTGGCATCTAACAGTCCGAGATTTATGGCTCACATTTTTTTGACTGTCTGAATCTTAATACAAATACAAAAAGAGTAACATTAAATACGAAAAAATTGTAAAAGCCAACTCACCCGATGTGTCAGAGTGAAATAACTCGGACAATAAGGATGATATGGCTCGATCATAAATTTTATTTGGCACGTTTTTTCCCAATACTCTTCCACATATATTACGCAGTTTTCATGAAACAAGAACTGCAATGCACGCAGTCTTCGAAAGAAGATGACTCACAAAACATCCGTTGGGTTTCTTGATTTTTTTTTCAGAGGACCTTTATTCTTTTTAGCATCCTTTTTTTTCTTTTTGACATCTATATCTTTGCGTATCTAAATCTTTGCGTATCGCCAAATTCACTGGGCTAGTATGTACTGCAGCCAATTGTCTACCGCATTTCCTTACTTGTCAAATACCTGATGTAGAAGGAACTGAAGATACTATCTAAAATTTTACCGGGAGTGGTTTTTGGTTAAGAGGTTGTTATTACCAGGTATGGATGGTAGTTGTAATGGTGACGTAAGAGATCATCTATTTCAGTAATTTGTGTTGTTGAACTTTCAAGAAAGGTGTACTCTGGTATTACATTCTGGTCGACTGGATAAATAGCACATGCGCGAATACCAGATAAGTACGGTATTTTGTACTGAGATAGCTTTTGTCCTCATGTAAGCCTCATTTATTAATTTTCCCGAATTGCAAGCGGTTAATCTTCTTTGTATGATTCATTTTAACAAATGAATTGCAAACATTATAATAATGTGTCTTCAGCGACTTGAAAAATGAAGGATCTAGTGGTTGCAAAAACTGTGCTGCATACTTTAACGTTTGAACGAAGTTGCAATGACATTCATGACCATCCAAAACCAGTAGTACTTTTCCTGGGGGCTTTCTAAGAACAAAGTGGTGTGTTAACCAATCAATAAATATATCCGTGTTTATGTAAGTCGGTTTTTCATTCATGTAAACCTTTGACACTTGGGGCATGCCATCTTCGAATTCTTGTTTTTTTTGCTTTGAATATGCAGATTCGGAGAAGTAAGTTACCCTCAGCATT